AGTCAGTTATTTAACCAGTCCTGGATTCGAATCCTGTTTGACCTATCTCAGTGTGCCGCGTCGTAGCTGTTTCTCTCTCACACACATACACACACCAACAATAAGCATGACTCATATCCCCATTAACACCAAAAATTTTTTTTATTTTTTGATTTCAGCTTGATTCCACACTGTATTTTTGGTACAAGTATGGAATTTTCAGCATGGATATCGGTAGCCCAAATTTTTCAGGCCGGCTGATGCAACCTCCTGAAGGAGTCTATAGGACTGTCGACCATGCACATGGTCCGAGGTTCGAGCCCACGCCGACGCACACCCGATATCTATGGTCGGCCTGCAAAATTTGGGCTACCGATATCCATGCTGAAAATTCCATACTTGAACCAAAAATACGGTGTGGAATCAAGCTGTAATCAAAAATAAAAAATTTTAAAAAAATTTTGTCAGCGTCTTCACCTAGAAGAACTATATTATCTGCATATTCTAAGTCAACGAGAATATTATTCCCTAGTAACAAATCAATCCCTCAGTCTCTGAAGTCATCAGTTACGGTTAAGTCCATTAGTACATATATGATGAAACTGAATAGAAATGGGGATACTGGGCATCTTTGACGGACACCGTTAGTTATCACTTTAACAATTATAAAACAGTTTGAAATGCTTTTTCTATTTTTTCTCTATGACGTTGAAGTCTTATCTTGTCTCAAAACATCTTCTTCCAGGGGTGTTAAATCTTTTCAGATGAAGACATTTTGAAAGAAAGTAAACAGATGTCTGGTTTCTTATCTTTCTCTGCAGATATATTAATCTGAGTAGTATAAACTCCATAAAGACTAATGAAGAGAACATCCACTCGACTTCTCTGTCTACATAAAAATTATAATTTGAAATAAAAATTATGTCCAATTTGTCACCTTTTTCTAGATTAAGAAAACACTAGTCTTTACAAAATGCTTGTAACATAATCCGATATATACTACTTAAATCCCTAGAGACAGAATCATGTAGATTTAGACAGACAAAGTCAGTAACACAAAAGGGAGACAGAGACATAAACCAATATAATATTTATTCACCAAAATACTCCTTTCAACGCTTACAATAAACAACTAAGTCGGTGGAATTCTCTTTCAAAAACATTGAACAACATTTTTTGTTCTAAATGCCTTTAGACACAAATTTTACATTCTTCATGACAAGATAAATAAATAAATAAAAATAAAATAAAATGCAAAAGAAATAACAGTGTATGAAATAAAAATTTGTACGAGAGACAGTTTTTTTTAATCCCATCTCTAACGGATAAAAAAAATCGAAGGCTTTCTAAATGAACATATTTAAATTTACATTTTTGGCGCCTAAATTTTGTTCGCTTGTTTGTTTGCGTAAACCCGCCATATTATGAATTTTTAAAAAAAAAGCGACAAGAAGTTGTTTGCGATGAAGAAAAAAGGAATTTTGGCGGAGGTGAACTACTTTTGTTTCTTTTAGCCTCTATTCTTTTATGATAAATTAATCAAAGTTTTGTTGTTCAAGGTCTCATGGAGTTTTAAAAAAATTGAGCTGAGATGTGACACATATTTCCAGGCATACTTGAACAATAAACTTTTGATGAAATTGAGCGGAGAGTTGAATTATTGATACTTTTTATCTTACTTCTAAAGGATATTTAAGTCCCCTTCTCTCCTATAAATAATATATATATATAAGGGCATGTTTCTATAACACTTGACCTGTGATTTTGAAGTTATTATTAGGCATGACAGAAAACGTGTTTTTTAAAGAAGCTTTCTAGCAATTTAATGATGAGGATAAATGACTTAAAAGTTAGAGAACCATTGGAAAACCTGGAAGTACCTGACAGCTGTTTCGCCAGCCTAGTTTGGGACTCTTCAGCAGTACGCACCCACCGACACCATTCGAACCCAGGACCTTCAGGTTACAAGGCGAGCTCGTAGACCATTGAGCCCCCGGGACCCGATCCAATGGTCCTTGAATTCTAACTTCTGCCAATTCACGACATAGCGCGACCGCTAGCCAATGTCTTCGGCGAGTATTTGTCCTCACACCCGACCAGCTGCACCCTACTGGTCACGACTTCCCACTGGAACCCAGGTAACTACCTACCTGAATAAGGCCAGTCGCCAGTGAGCATCTCATTGGTATTCAAGCGATGGTTTGTAGGGATTTGATTGCTTTCAGGATTTCATCATGAGCTGACATAAGTTAGCGAACCATTGGAAAACCTGGGAGTACTGGACAGCTGTTTCGTCCTAGTTTGGGACACTTCAGCAGTAAGCACCCACCGGGATTCGAACCCAGGACCTTCCGGTTACAAGGCGAGCTCGTATACCATCCCAGGTTTTCCAATGGTTTTCTAACTAATGTCAGCTCATGATGAAATCCTGAAAGCAATCAAATCCCCACAAATCATCACTTGAATGACTTGAAAGTGGCAAAATTATAAACCAGATTTGAATTTAAGACTAATTTAATTCAGGGCTTCTTGTTTGTTATCAGTGGTCTCTTTAACTGATGTCGGTTGGTGACGATGTCTAACAATTATAATTAATAGGGAGAAGACCAGTAGTTCAGCAAAGAGTTACTTTTCGGTGGCGAATTCATTCATATATAGGTTATTTTGTGTGTGTGTGTGTGTATGTATGTATGCATTAAGTTTGTCAAACAAAAATACAATTACAGGATTTCATCATGAGTCGTGACCAGTAGGGAGCAGCAGGTTGGGTGTGAGGACAAATACTCGCCCCCGAAGACATTGGCTAGCGGTCGCGCTATGTCGTGAATTGGCAGAAGTTAGAATTCGTGGGCCATTGGAACGGGTCCCGGGGGCTTAATGGTCTACGAGCTTGCCTTTTAACCAGAAGGTCCTGGGTCCAAATGGTGTCGGTGGATGCGTACTGCTGAAGAGTCCCGAACTAGGACGAAACAGCTGTCCAGTACTCCCTGCAGGTTTTCCAGTGGTTCTCTAACTAATGTCAGCTAATGATGAAAATCCTGTAACCAATCAAATCCCTACAAACCAACACTTGAAAAATACAATTGTTTTTCTGGTTATTTTAACTGAACAGGTAAAAATTAGTAAGTTCTGAGTGGAATTACGTAGTACAAAAATTATTCTGAGGAATTGAATGTTGATACAAGAGGGGAGTAAGAAAAGTGATAAGTTGTCACAAACGATTGTTAAAAAAAGAGTCGAGTGATAACATGAATAGTTTGATAAAAGAGTTGTGCTCAGAGTGAAAATGAAAACAAAATAAAATATGGAATTACCTAAGAGTTTTAAAGGAATACAAAAGTTTTAAGTGGTCAGAAAAACAAGCAAAAAAGTAAATGTTAAGTCAGATCAACTAAGTAGTTCCCATGATAGTAGAAATGTCTGAATAATTTTCTTTTGTCTGCATACTTCTGGTTCTTCTAACTAAAAACTGTTAGGGCTCCTGTAAAATGCGAGATCACACCCCCTCCTCTTAAAATTGCATAACCTGAATGCCAATCAATACCTCTATGATAGCCACTAGTTGGACGTCCTGAAGTTTATATTGAAAAGTCATGATCAGTACGGCCCATTATATCAAGCCAAAGTGGATTCTCGTCTGAGAAATTGGTGAGCACAGTGCTATGTCACACACGAATTACCGAAGTCAGGCGCTCTGTAAGGAGTACAATAATCGAATACCTTGTCGACACTTGTCAGCCCATCCCTCAAAAAAATGCCTTCTCCTCCTCCTTCGGAGTAATCTAAAAAGTTAAGAATAACCTTCGTATTGCTGAAGCTTTAGTCATTCATTTGGAAAAACTAGAACTATGTTTACAAAAGACGAAATTCATGATCTATTGGATCGGGACACAGTGGCTTATTGGTCTATGAGCTCACTAACCTTGTAGCCAGAAAGTCCTGGATCACTTCCTCCACCTATCTAGAAAGCATCTTTTCAAATACAACCAGTCAGCGCAAATAGGGATATCACTGGCAGAGTTAGACAATCCAAGACAGAACATCATCACTTTGAAATTAGATTGGAAGTCTTCTGCACTCAGAATAAGGGACAAAATTTAAACCTCCCAAATTAATTTCGAGTGAGCCAGTTCTCTTATCTGGGCCAGGAACTTGGGGTGCGCATCACGAAAAGCAAATGCCAACAGGCTGTTACTGAATTTTATCAACAGCTACCAACCTTCACTAGCCGGCTCCAAACTGAAGATCGAATGCCCAGTCAACCAGAGAGAATTAGCCAGAAAAAACTCTGGAAGCGACCTGATCCAGAGCTTATTGCTTGAAAAAATACGTAGAAGCAAAAAAAATAATAGGTTGGACAAACTCTGAAAAGGCCATCGAGTGATATCCACCGCCAGGTAAATCTTCAAGTGGAATCCGAATGCGAAACAACAATTTAGGCATAGGAGATTATTTTATTTTTATTTTTTTAATTTTGATTACAGCTTGATTCCACACCGTAGTTTTGGTACAAGTATGGAATTTTCAGCGTGGATATCGGTAGCCCAAATTTCTCAGGCCGACCATAGATATCAGGTGTGCGTCGGCGTGGGCTCGAACCCAGGACCATGTGGATGGGCGGCGAGAGTCCTAACCACTGTGCCACCGATGCGACAACGAGGACGAGGATTAGGAGATGAGAGCTTATGAGTAATTGTTGAAGAGGTCAGTTGAAGAGGAATGCAGAGAAATATGAAAGAATGGAAATGTTCTGTTGAAATTCTGTATATTCCACCTCAAATCCAAGGGAATAATCATGATACGATCTATTTCAAAGTATGCATAACTTATTTCCTCAAAAAATTTCTTTCAGGTTTTTCTAACTTAGTGAACAATAACATTATTAAATGTGTCACGTATAAATTAATTCATACTATGCGTTCATGTATTCATTAAATTTAGTTTAAAGGCGTACAATTTTCATTAATGTTAATTTCTACCATATTTATTTATTTATTTTTATTTGCAATTTATCTCCATAGACACAAACAAATATTTATGAAATTGTTACTGACTTACGAATGGAACAAGGGTGTTTACAACATCGAATGGAGAACTTAGAAACATCTTTGATAAAAGTACAGGTTAGTTATAAAAAGTTACAAATACACTTGTATATGTATACACGCGTCAATTAACCTTTCATTTCAAAAAAATTCATAAAAATTCAAACTTCATACACAAATTAAGCCAGTCAAGGATGACAATGGAAAGTCAATCATCAAAGAGGTGGAGCAAGGAAAACATTGGGTTGAACACTTTAAAAGACTTCTAAATCGTCCGCTACCTACAACACACCCAACAATACCAACGCCGGAGGCAGAACTACCAGTGAACATCAACCCCCCCACCCGACGAGAACAGAAGTCCTGAATGTAATCAAGATGCCAAAAAGCTGGAAAAGTAGCAGGACCAGTTGGAATCCCAGCAGAAGCACTGAAAATGGACCCAGAGACAACAGCGGATTTGATGACCCCATTATTGGAGAGGGTGTGGAAACAGGGCAAAGTATCCAAGGATTGAAAGAAAGGATACTTATTCAAACCACCAAAGAAAGGAGACTTAAGTCAATGCAAAAACTGGCGCGGAATTATGCTCCTGTCAATCCCAAGCAACGTACTAACGCACATCATCCTGGAGAGAATCAAACACGCCAACCTGGATGAAAAACTTCGACCGGAACAGGCCGGAATCAGGAGAAACAAATCATGTATTGATCAAATCGCCACTCTACGGATCATCATTGAACAAAGCTTGGAATGGCAGTCACCTCTCCACCTCACTCAACTTCGTCGACTTTGAAAAGGTCTTCACTAGACAGTGTCGATCGAGAGGTGATTTGGCAACTACTTCGCTATTACGGGGTCCCATCGACAAATATACATCTCATCCAACAGTTATACGACAATGCTGCATGCCAAGTAATCCACAACGGGAAACTTACGGAAGCCTTCGAAGTGAGGACGGACGGGAGTGAGGCAAGGCTGTCTACTATAACCAATGATCTTTCTGATTGCAGTAGATTAGATAATACGACAGACAACGGCGGGCAATGAGGAAACAGGCATAAAATGGACTCACACAGAAATAGAACTTGGAGGATCTGGATTTCACCGGTGATATATGTTTGATTTCCAACAAACTGGAAGATATGCAAGTGAAAAGCAACAAGTTGGCAGAAGAAGCATCCAGAGAAGATAGGACTTCAGGTGAACATAGATAAAACAGAGGTGATGAAGATTCCTGGCCAACAGACGCAGCCACAGCAACAACAACAGAGAACAATCAGCCAGAGTAAGTGGGAGGAACTTGAAAGAAGAGACTCGCCTCACCTACCTACCTGGGAAGCATCGTTTCAACTACAGGTCAGCGGAACTGACTAGGATATTAAAGCAAAGAAAGGGGAAGCAAGACAAGCTTTCATTGCTCTCAATTCTGTGTGGAGGTCAACAGCACTCACTGCTCAGCATGAAAAATAAGATAACATACAATATTAACTGCCCTTTATAAATTTGAATAAAGCAAGAATAACAATGGTTTGTGCAAAATAAGACAATGGTACCATCCCCGTTTATTTCGTTGGCTTTTTTCATCATCTGCTTATGGCCTAAAGAAGATATTATTAAGTTTATCTACAGAAACAATTTTAACACATTTACAACACAAAAGAGTTCATTTTTAAACAAGAAACCAATCAATATTTGCACAAAAAAATGCTAACAATAATTAATCACACACAAAAGAATCTTTCAGCGTTACGTAATCAAATGCAAGAGAGGATGAAAATATCCAATTACCAGGGTGAGCAAGGAAAGACTGATAACCACTTCTTTCTGAATGCTGAAAAATATGTCGATGACACTTTTGTTGTGAACAACAATCAAAGTACCACGCTTACTACCTACTCGGATTATTCAACATCGCATATACCAATAGGGAATTTACTATGGAACATGAAAAGGATGACAAGTTCCATTTCTTCGACATTCCCATGCAATGACAAGAAGTGGGTTGTCTCCAGGGAGTAAGACAGTAAGACAGGTGGACTGAATTATGCATCAAACAATTCACAGGGACCACCGATAAGAAGACGCAAAAAGATCTGGATGACTATAGACTAATGTGTCAGACAAGCTCGTGGAATTACACGCGAAAACTAACAAACTGACAGAAGGGCAGGCAGCGAAGACAGGACTCCAGATGAACACATACTGGGGGGAAGGAGATGACGATAACTAACCAAAAGTAGTAACATCAATAACTAGCTTGAATCACCATCAATGGCAGAGATGTGTCAGAGGTTACTATCTAAGCAGCATGATTTCAGCTAAAGTCGACAACACGGATGAAGATGTTAACCACAACCAGAATCGGAAAGATAACCAACACCATCATCAGTTTGAAATCATTTCTGAAATCTTCTCCACTGCACTCCAACTCAGGATAAAGAACGCGATTCCGATATTCAGCACAAGTGTGAAGGCAATCAGTCAGTCAGTCAGTCCTTTCATACGGGTCAGAAACTAGACCAGCGTCTCACAAACTTCTAAGGAATTAATATCTCCTAAGAGATCAGTACCCAACACCGAGTCCAGAGGCACTACCACTGAGCTATTCCAGCTGACAATAAACTGGTGGGATTAACTAAGCTGAATCTATGTATGTAGAAGAGGGTTACTAATTCATAACATTAGCGAAAAACAACTCAACCGCTATTTTCGTGATTTCTTTTAAATTGTATTCATACTACTTGTGAGTAACAAGAGGAATGCAAACAAATTAAATTGACATAAGGAATAGGGAGAGAATATAGACAAAGTAATAAGTAGACGTAATTTGTCTGAATCGTGTAGTGTATTTGCGCAACACATCTAGAACAGTCTGATCACACATGAACTTTTCATGAGAATATATACATTTGCGAATAATAAAAGGCTGAGTGGTGAGAATATAGACTTAAGTCAAGTTAAAAGGACATATTGTCGGTCGAAATAACAGTAAAAATCACTGAACCAAAAAAAGAGAGGTAATAGTACTTCTATCTTACCAAAATAGGTGGCTCTTTGATAAATCCAGCACTATTTAAGATCGGTGAAGAGTATTAATTTCTTGCTTGATTTTTACTGGTTATCATCAATGGAGTCACTGACGTGCGTTTCATCCATTCTGCGCAGATATCAGCTCGCTGGACCTCCCTACCCAGTGAGTAGTAGTGCTTCCAATGAGATTTGTAGCAGCACTCTCTCTCGTTTCATATGCCGAAATATTGTCCATTAAAAGTCATTAAACCACGAGAACCACGACTTATGCAACATGGAGGTTAGGCGTCGAGTTCCAGGTAAAGACGGGAAATCAATCGACGAAGTCGTGAAGCTACAAAGACTGAGATGGTTAGGACATGTGTTACGTATGCCAAGCCATCGCCTCCCTCGACGAGCTGTGTTAGCGGATATAGGGTCAGGCTGGAAAAAAGCTAGCGGAGGTCAAACAAAAACTTGGCCTCACCAGTCAATGAAATTCACAACAGTTTGTCTAAGCCACGTAGAAAGGTATAGACTTCCAGGCTAGGGTCCTCGGGACGGTAATCATCTATGGTTGGAAACAATTGGTGACATGGCTCAAAATCGTTCTCAGTGGCCGGCGCAGATGCATCCACTCCCTGTGACATATGATCTTCAATGAAACTGTTTTGTATTTCTTTATTACTCCTTTGTCTCACACCTCTGCTCACTGTTTCTATTATGCTTTTCTTGTACTTTCTTCTCTTGCTTCGCGTGCTACACGGGGTGTGGCGACTTGAACTTCCGCACATATGTGCAAAGTTCTATGTCGAAAACAGACAGACAAACACATTTCTGCTGAACAACCGGCTCTTGGTTGGTTTGTTCCCCCAGACAGAGTTTCTTGTTGCTAATTCTCTTCGACTAGCCATTTGATCTTCGTTATGGAGTTAGCGTGGTGAAGATGGCAACTGTTGACAGGAGTCTTCAGTAGCCTGTTGGAAATGGTTTCCGTGACACACAGGACAAGTTTCTGACCCTCGTATAGAAGAATTGACTGACTGATTTCACACTTGTGTTGAAAATCGAAATCTTATTCTTTTATCCTGAGTTGGTTGGAGTGCACTGCGGAAGATTTCCATACTGGTTTCAGGCTGATGAAGGTGTATACCTTACTCTTCCGTATTTGGTTGGCTTTAACGTCCATAGTGTCGATTTAAGTTGAAACCGTACTGGCCAGATAAGTGAATGAAGTAATCTGTGCCACATCTGTTTTGTTGAAATCGGGATGAGAATAACACCTCATTTTATGCAGAGCAGTTATCCTGGATCTATAATAATGCAGGATTACTGATGCCTCTACACTTCCAGATCGATATACTTTAACTTCGCCATAAAGTTAAGCAGTCTATAGTCGACTAGTTTAAATGATACTAATTGATATGAGCAATTCAAAAGCTAACAATTCATTCGAGTAGTTAGTTGGCATTTTTAATGGTTTCAATTGATTTCAGTACTTGGAACTCAGATAAATCAGGTTTACAGCTGATGAACTCGACCTCAAACTAGAGGAATGTGCAAGACATATCTACGAATACTGAGTACATCGGTTCAACCGAATCATTCAGACGGGAATTCAAAGTAGATAATTTTGTTAAATAACAATTGATAATCATTGCATAAGTCTGTCTGTCTGTCTGTTTTCGACATAGAACTTTGCACAAATGTGCGGAAGTTCAAGTCGCCACATTCCGTGTAGCACGCGAAGCAAGAGAAGAAAGTACAAGAAAAGCATAATAGAAACAGTGAGCAGAGGTGTGAGACAAAGGAGTAATAAAGAAATACAAAACAGTTTCATTGAAGATCATAAGTCACAAGGAGTGCATGCATCTGCGCTAGCCACTGAGAACGATTCTGAGCCATGTCACCAATTGCTTCCAACCATAGATTTTTACCGTCCCGAGGACCCTAGCCTGGAAGTCTACACCTTTCTACGTGGCTTAGACAAACTGTTGTGAATTTCATTGACTGGTGAGGCCAAGTTTTTGTTTGACCTCCGCTAGCTTTTTTCCAGCCTGACCCTATATCCGCTAACATTGCTCGTCGAGGGAGGCGATGGCTTGGCATACGTAACACATGTCCTAACCATCTCAGTCTTTGTAGCTTCACGACTTCGTCGATTGATTTCCCCTGTTCACCTAGAACTCTACGCCTAACCTCAATGTTGCTCACCTTATTATGCCAATTTACACGGGAAATAGAACGCAGGCACCTATGATCAAAGACAGCCAGCTAGTCTTTTCATGTCTTCCACTCTCAGTGGCCAGGTCTCACAGCTGACCATAAAGGAGGACGGATCGGACTGATGAGCAGTACACCCGCCCTTTGGTCGATAGTCGAACATCTCGTCTACGCCAAAGACGGCGTAAACTAACAAATGCGAAACGAGCCCCTTGTATTCGTGCTGAGATTTCGTCAGAGATGTGGGAGAAAATGGAGGTGTGCACGAGCATACGTCACACTGAGGAGGCCGTGCAATGCCCAGTGCAGGTCATCATTCGAGTGGAACCCCATTGGGAATCAACTAGTCGGTCGTCGGTGTGAGCGTGATGTGGAGGAGGAGTCGTGTTTGGTTGGAGGAGGAAATGAGAGATTAAAAATGTATTTTTGAATCCCCATATTCCACTAAGAACTCATGGGAATAAAATTTATAATAAAGTCAGGTTGCTATTTTTATCCTGATCTAGTTTTTAAGCACTGTCTGGGCAATATGTTGTATCTGTGGAAGCAGTTACACTGGAAGGACAGAAAGAAGGGAATATCTACGATTTTCTGAACATGTACCAAAAAGCTTACGTCTAAAGAGAACAAATGCATTAAACACTGCCATCGTCAGGTATCTCCCCGACACGGGTCATGAGGTGGACGTCGAAAAGTTGTTCAAAACTATCAAAAGGCGAAAGAGCTCAATTCTCCTTAAGTTTTGCAATTAATAGTGTTCTCTGAGCTGGTTGGTTTAGTGGCGGAATTTTCGTCGTCTTTCTGAGCGAAATCTTCAGCGCAGTATTTAGGATAAAGTGAAATGATTTAAAATCCCCATGAATGATGATACAATTGCGTCTCCTGGTGACCAACCATCTTTCCATATGTATTGACCGTTTTCTATTGACTTGGATTTTGAACTTTCTGGTCACCTGATTTACTTTTTATTAGTTGACATATTTCATCTATATTAACGTGTTTATTAATGGCATTTTCGTTTGAGTACCAGGCTTCTAGGAATTCCCTGATTGCACTTTTGGTGTTTCCTCTGTCTAAGATCTCAACATTATCCCAATCAAATTGATGTCCATAATTGTCTGTATGCATTGATACTAAAGAATTTATATCATGTCTTTTCACGGCTGATTTGTGTTCTTGGATTCTTATTCGAAGGGGACGCCCACTTTGGCCGATGTAATGTTTGTTACAGTTCATACAATTTATTTTGTAAATGGTGTTAATTTTATCTCCCTTTTCTATCGGATCTTTTGGTTTGCATAAGATCGAATTAAGCGATTCGACTGGTTTGTGTGCTACATCTATATCAAACGGTTTCATTATTCTAGCTGTTATTTCAGAGATACTTCTGATGTATGGTAGGATGAATTTCGTTTTGGTCTTTGATGATGGTTCTTTGTTGGTGTTTTGATTCAACTTTAAACACTTTTTGATGAAATTTTTTGGATAACCATTCCTCTTGAAGACCGTTTGTAAGTATTTTTCTTCCATTCTTTTCAACTCTGGTGTGCTACAATGTGTTTGAACTCTTCTAAACAATGTCTTCGCACAGTTTCTTTTGTGAGTAATTGCTGTATTCTCCTTAAGTTTGCTGAAGCCATTTCCATCAAGCGCCTGAAACCTGATTTATGCGTTCAGAAAGAAGTGGTTATCAGTCTTTCTTTCCCAGCCTGGTGACTGGATATTTTTCATTTCTCTTTCATCCGAATGCGAAATGCTGAAAAGTTTCCATTGTGTGTGATTATTATTGTTCGGAATAATGTTTAGTATTATATATATATATATATATATATATATATATATTATTTTATTTTTATTTTCCTGCACGTTCCCAGTGGAACATAGGGCTCCAAGCTAGATGCTTGAAGTTTCTGTAGCAGTAGTGATTATTTTTACAGGATGGGGTTGCTAGCCTCATTCGCATTAAATATTGTTGATTTTTGTATTTTTTTAAATATTTTTACAATAACAGGAACAATTAAGAGCCTTACCTGGTCTTATTAGAACAGCAATTATACAACAACATATAGCCTATCAAAAATTAGTAACACCTCAGACAACTACATCGACAACAGCAACAACGACAACGACAGCAACCTCAGCAACAACAACAACAACAACAAATCAACAGCCTTCATCAAAACCAGAAGAACACCATAAACAATGAGATATCCACGGCGGACTGTTTGATCGATCGACTGACTGACTGACTGAATGGCAAGCTGATTTTATCCTCTTATTTGACATATTGTCAAATATTTATATTTATATTAAAATAGGGCAGATGCACAGATATACACACACGCACACACACAAACAGACGAAAGAAAAACCAAATCATTGTATCTGTTGTATGTTTTTTTGAAGAAAACTCCTTTGTTTCACCTAGCTCACACGCACACACACACACATACACACAAACACCCTGTAACATTATAGAAACTGTATTCTGTATACATATGTTATGTTGAAGAGTAGCGGAGACTAGTTTGAACTTTGTTTTATCGATTCAAAAATAAATAAACACAGTTACTGTTGTTGTTTTTTTTAATCAATGCCTTCAAAATCTTAAGAAGTATCTGTAACTTCTTATTTTCCCCCCGAAACCTTTATTTCTTTAAAACTGTCTTTCATTCAATTGTCAACAGAAAAGAAAAGATTTGTTTGTTTGTTTTATTAAAGTAAATTAAACTACACAAAAAACTGTGGGCTTTTTAAAATTTCTGTCCAACACATATACATATTCATTTATTTTCTAGTCAACTACCAAACGATCAATCCAGAAATCGATAAATACATAAATATATACAATGAACAGAAAGCAGTAATTTTTAATACTAAATGTAAATTATTACTATTATCATTATTATCACGATAATACACATATAATAGTTTATTTATAATGCACAGAAATCGAATTGTTATTACTAGTGTAGATTATTTATATAAAGTTAAACATATATATTATAAAAAATTGAAGAAAATATATTTTTTAGTAATAGAGATTTCTAAACACTTTTTTTTATCCTCTGTCGTTTTTCTGTTGTAAGGGATTTATAGTTTAGTGTGTGTGAATCTGTCTACTTTTTGTGGAGAATAATGGAGACAAGCAGTGGAATGCCAGGATAACGTGCATTTCGTCCTTATTTGGTACTCGTCATCTGGATGTACCTGCATTCCGCAGTGAGTGATGATGTTCCCACCGAGGCTCAAACACCAAAGCGTTATCCACTAGACCACTTGGGCCACGAAAGCTGGCCACCACCTCTTGTGCAACGGGTCATACTAATTATTTAATTGAATTTTAGATTTTCCCATCAATTGATTGGACCGAAGTGCTCGGTCTCAAGTTGACATGTCGGCTGCTAGTGGATAACGCTTTGGCTTTTGAAACTATGGGCACTGGGTTCGAGCCTCAGTGGGAATATCATCACTGACTCACTGGGGAATGCAGGTACATCCAGCTGATGCCAGTCCCAAATAGGACGAAATGCGCATCCTGATGGATTCCACTGCTAGTCACCATCCACCAATTAAATACTAATTAAATGCCCAGACATGGTCGAAGCATTTGCACGAGAGGCCGACAGACATGTCAACCTGAGACCGAGCAATTCGGTCCAGTCAGTTGACAGGAAAATCTAAAATTCGATTAAATGAAGATGTGGCTTATTGGCTATATGTTTTTGATATTTACTTATTGTCCTAGGTCTTAAAGATTTTATTTATTTATTTTATTTTTGATTACAGCTTGACTCCACACCGTATTTTTGGTACAAGTGTGGAATTTTCAGCGTGGATATCGGTAGCCCAAAATTCGCAGGCCAACCATAGATATCAGGTGTGCGTCGGCGTGGGCTCGAACCCCAGACCATGGGCATGGTCAGCGAGAGTCCTAACCACTGTGCCACCGACGCACGATGAATCCATGCCGACCTCATAAATGTGTCTGTAGAAGTGGTTGTTCAGTTTGAATTGGATGTCTTTTGTGCAAAGAATAAGTAGGCGCTTCATCTGTGTTTCCGGTAATAGAAGTAGATCTGTTCGCCTACAGACGATGTCTATTGTCTCCATCATTACTACATTTTTAAATAAGGCGGTTACATCATATGACACCATTAGTTTATTTGATATATCAGCATGGACGAATTCTTTAGAAAATTGGAAGGTGTCATCCAAGCTATGATTTGAAAATTTCTGTTGAATTGGCCTCAATGAATCAGCTCTTTTTTGGCATGGATTTTCGGCAGACAGTACATAAATGCGAGGCGTTCACCTTTTGACGTTTTGAGTTCACTGTAAGTTTTTTTGTCAATCAATTTCTTGATGAAGAGTTCTTTGAGGCATTTATTTACTTTATTTTCGAATGACGTTGTTGTATCCTTCTTAGTTTTGTCCACCTAAAAAATGTTTAGGGATCGTTATGAATTGTCAACATTTTACATACACAATCAGTTTTATTCATTATGACAACTCTGGAGCCTTCATTGGGTCTAAACATGACTATGTCGTCATTTTCATATAGTCTCCTTAGTGCCGCTCTATGCTCCTCAGTAAGCATTTTCTGTTATTTGGGTGATGATGATGATGATGATGACGTGAGATACTGGTTGGCTATATCAACCAATTTTTACTGCAAAGCTGGTTTTTCTTAACTCATGGAAAATTTTCCCATTGTAACGTATAGAAAATTAAAAGAAGTGATTCAGCGAAGAGACTCTTTTCAACAATGAATTTATCATCAAGCTGTACAATCGTATATATATGGTTTTTTTTTAAAAAGTTATATCCGGTGAGGGAATTGAATCATAGGTGTGAATGCATAAAATATTAATAATGATAATAGTAGTATAAAATAAAATTAAAACTAAAATGTTTGTAATTATAATCATAGTTAAATGTCAAGTGGCAACACAAATTAATGTCATATATAGAATAATTCATAGGAGGGATAGAACTTGAAAAAGGCTGTGCAATTATAGGATTAGTAGACAAATGGAATAAAATAAAAAACGTTGCGTAATATTGTGTGAAATTTAATAGAATAGAATTTACCGTTGTAAAAACAGGCTAGATTTAGAATGACAAGTGGAACAAGTGAAATAATACCGAGGACGGTTCAAAGTGAGAATAGTAATAGTACTAACAATTGACGTAATCAAGGAAGAGTGTACAAGTTGAATAGACAAAATGAAAAAATGGAAAATTGGTAGAGCCAAAATATGATTGGGGATTACCATATTTTAGCATAGAGGGATTAAGATCATGAAAATTGGAGGCATTGAACGAATTTTTTCTGTACACAGAGATCTGGCTTTTGTGTTTCGATAGCTAAAGATGCCTTCAGCAATACAGATGAGTCGGGTACTTAGGGATTTGGGTAAATTAGTCTTTGCCTTGTAGATGACTTCTTATTGCTCTACTTCCACCTTTTCGTAACTACCATGCAGGATAGTGTTCTTGCATCCTCTTGGACAAAACTCTAGTCAAGCGACTGATATACCTAGCTCCATATGAGCAGGTGAATTGATAAACACACAGAGAGTTGGTTAGCAGCGGGATCTTGTCCTTCAGGCTATTGAACAGTAATGGTCGACTGGTAAGGCTATTCTCAGAGATGCTACAGGGAATGTTATTTTCAGAGACTGTGATATCAGAAGCTAGGTCTTTCTTTCTCTATCGAAATTTATCTAGGGAATCAAATGGATGAAATTCTTAAAAAGACGCCTCCCTGTGTAATTGTATTTCTCAGCGGATTATCAGATATCCAGAGTGTAAAGATAATAATAATAATAATAATTTTTGCTTTATTCCAAAAACAGTACTAATGATACAGCAAGGAATTTTCAGCATTCAGTACAATATTGCATCCGTTTACTCAAAAACGACAAAAAAATTAAAAATACACATTACATAATAGTAATAAAACGATTGTTATAGCAGCTACGTAGCGAAATACTGTATGCCATACGGAGAAAATATGCATAAAGTACAAAATTGTGGTAATAATAGCAATACCAACCAAAATAAAATAAAGTTATAATTAAACGATAGAAAGTGTGACACCATAGAATACAGAAAGATGAACAATGAAAGGGTCGATTCACTGTGCTAATTACATAGTAACTTGTAAGTTTCACGTCTAACGGAGTCTTCGTCACATAAAGTACGGGCTAAATAGGGTATTGTAGAATTTCTATACTTAGTGGTACGAGCATATAACTTTTTATATTGACTTCTCATCCTACCTGATAAGATACAAGGGGACAGGTGTGAATAAAGGGGGTGCAGAGGGTCTGACAGTATGGCCTTTGCCCACTTTGTACAGGAATTGATATGCCTCTCGACTATAGTATTAGCGAGCTCATACAGTGGCAGACCACAAGCTCTACTCACAGCATTTAATACTCTTCGTAATATGATATAATCTTTTTTGAGAAGCCCAGGAAAGATTAATGGAGAGCAATAGAGTGCAATAGGTAAAATACAGGAGTTTAAGATTGCAAAACTACAGGTTGGTTGATACCTGATTGTCTTAACTTTTTAATGTAGAAGGTAAGACGAAACATTTTCTTAGAGATAGATAAGATATGGGATGACCATGAAAGGTCAGAGGAAAGAACTAATCCAAGGTATTTAATGCTTGATTTGGTTTCAATTTCTGTGCCATCTATGCTACAGGGATCATGCGAGCTAACTAGTTCAAGTAAGTCGCGTCGATGCTTGAAAGTAAAGTCAAGTGCCTGACATTTGGAAGGATTTAATATAAGAGTTGATCACGGATTGATATCAGTTAGAGAACCATTGAAAACCAGGGAGTACTGGACAGCTGCTGTTTCATCCTAGATTGGGAATCATCGGCAGTATGCACCCACTGGGTTTCGAACTGATATCAATCCGTGATCAACTCGTAAAACATAACTAATCCTTACAAACCAAACTATAGAAATTTAATATAAGATCCTAGTTTTAGAAGAATACCATGCACAGTAATCAACGTGGAAAACAACAAAAGACCGAAATGCAATACAATTGTTGATTCCCCCAACAATAACGAGACAAGAAATACAGGTTACTGTCTTAGCAAGATCTGTAAATAAATGTTGATAATAATAATAATGCACAGGGCAAAGTTTAACAATAGCGTTCCAAAGGATGCGAAAGCACGCGTTCCCTTGAGCCGACTAATCATAAATATGAGGAATTTTGCATGAAATATGACGTATATTTACAAGAAAATGCATAAATACACATTAAACAGGGCATCTTTCTCTTCTAACATGACTTAAAAATACGTTCCAGTTTTAATGAGGAATATCAGTTGCTAAATCAGACTAGTTTCTGTATACGTATTCACCGAAGTGACTGAAGATTAGCTGTTTTTGTGAAATGTTTATCTCTCTTATCGTGTTGTGCAGTCTTCCTCAAAAGCCTTCGGTTGAATTACTATGGTTTTCAGTAAGAGGATCAACAACTACTTACCAAGAAAATGTGGATAATAGAACAAATTCGAATAAATGACTTCAAGTCTAAATCTATCCCTAATCGTAACCCTAACCTGAATCCTAACTATGACCCTGATCCTAAACCTAAACTCAATACTTAGCTTAATCCTACTCCTAACCCTAACGAGTTATTATCACATTGTCTAAACAGTACTTAAAAAACGTGATTTGGGTGAAATTCGCTCCTTAGTTGTTGAATAGCATTAATATTTCAGCTATGATAATAACAGGTGCTGTTAGTCAACGACTAGTTTGCGTTCGAGGTCATTGGAGCGTTCGCACATCTGGGATGCTATTGTTGAACTTTAGCATGTACAGTTATACTTGTGATCGTATTATTATTTCGGTTACAGCTTGATGCCACACCGTATTTTCAGTACAAGTATGGAATTTTCAGCATGTGATATCGGTAGTCCAAAGTTTGTAGGCCGACCATAGATATCGAGTGTGCGTCGGC